AGTTATGATTGCATTTTTTTCTTTTTGAAAAATTTCCATTTACAAACCATGCTCTTTGTTTTTTAACAATAGCGTAACAAAACACTAACACACAAAATATCCAAAGATAGCCAGAGGTCTGAGTTTCTATTATGATGCTGCTGAGCTAAATAATATTAAAACTGGTCAGCTTATCTGAATACCTAATAGAGAACCTGATAGCAAATCTAAAATTTCATCTAACAAAGACTTTCGTGAAAATGAATAAGAACATTAGAGGGTGAAAACTGGCTATGGAGACAGGAAGGCAACAGGAGCACCTGGTGACAAAAGTATCATTACAGGTGTTTAATGACAAAGATGGAGTTTTTCATCTGGAGATTGCAACAGAAAAGAGGATCATCTGAAAACAGTTGTGATCTTTGCGGTTTTGGTGACTACTTCACCAATTGTCATGGTAAATTCACATTTTTAAGAAAAATATTTCTTATATATTCTCTTTTGTAGAGGTTGGACCTCCAGTCCAGCTTGATGCTAGCCGGGGATGGTCTTAATGACTGACAAAGACTCCTGTGTCTTTTTCCTTAGTGGATCAAGTTGGGCCAAACTGGGCTCTGTTCCTCTCAAGCATGTCTTAGTGGGACCTGCAGGGATCTGGAGAGCCAATGACGATAAAAACTAAACTTTCATTGTTTCTGATTAGTATGTTTCAGAGCAATATTTTAAAGGTTTGACACTAATCCCATTTTCAATTATTTAGAAATACATTTCTTTGTGTCTCAAGTTGAACCAATTGGATCTGAATGCAAACACCCAGCTGGGGGAGTTTTTGTTGGGGTCCAGAAAAATAAGGAACACTCTGCAAACAGTTAATTGCCTTACCTGGCTCCAGGGATCTCACTCTTGTTTTCAGCTCTGTGTGCCAAATCTTTTACAGTGCCTCTCCTTGGGGTAGTGCTGAGAGGACACAAGAGGGCGATGCTGTACAACAAATGCTACTCTTCCACAAAGCCAGTCAACAAGGGTCCCTATAATTTGACCAGAAATATTTAAGGCATGAAAGCTCAGTTTTAACTTGAATTGAGGACACTACACAACTTTTGTAGAGTTCAGTAACTGCAAAGAGTAAATACAGAGTTTCCATCATGTGGAAGTGGAGGACTCATGCAGAAACTCACTGGTAGAAAGAATAAAAAAAAAAGTTATATAGGGGGAATCAAAGTCTCTCACAGTGGACATGCATCTATGATGACAATTTCAGACACCTCCACAATTTCCAAGTGGGAAAGCTTGCAAAACAGGATGTTCAAATACTTATTTTCCTCACTGTAGATTGTATATTGACCCAACTTGCCAGTGTCTCATTCAAGTGCAATTGTGATCTCTACAGTCCTTAGTTTGCTGTAGTGTAAAAGACATCTGCCTCCACAAATGCAAACCTACTCCTATGGAATCATAAATGGAAATTTCTATGGCAAGGCAAACGTAAAAATTGAGACTCAGTTTATTTTAGCATCAATATAGATACCGTTTACTGATGTAAATGGTAATCACACACACAGTGTACCTTCAAGTATAAAAGTTAAAGTAATCAGTTTTTAAATGAATCACAAGTTTTGAAAGAATTGAGTGATCAGTCTCCTGTCAAATTTTCCCTTTACATCTTTCACCTTGGTCTGAAAGAACCACTTCACTCAGATAAGGAACATGCACGCTGTTGAAGAGTTTGTTTCCTTAATATTTTGATTTTTACATGTGAAAGTTTAAAGTGTGAACAAGTGCAATCAATACAAGACCCAACTATCCAATGTAATTTGACAAATTCTAAAGATTTACTTTTATTCCTTGTTATGGAGTCATTTACAGCAGAATCATCAGGCATATGCCCCCAAAATAATGTGGGGAAAAAGAATTATGTCAAGTATTCCAGCTGGTTACTGAGTGCACTCTTGGATGGTTTCACACTCTGTCACAAGCCACAGACGACCCTCGTCATAACTCATGCATTTTATGGGCTTCTTGAATTCAATGAGTTTCCAATATACACCTCCTGGAGTATTGTCCGAGATACCAATTCTGTAGAGAGTAAGGTGATTATTTATAACAATGCATCGTCTCTGTGCCGCATATTTGCAACAGAAATCTGTCCAAACTTTACCTTTCAAAGAGGTTTCCGCCTTTATTTACAACAAAGACACGTCCATCAGTCCCAACTTCTGCCTTTACTGCTAATCCGTCTACTTTAGTCCATCCAGTTGTCCTACAGCTGTTGGGTGAGATTTTCTTAAAAAAAAAGGAAAAAAAAGAATGAAAAAAGCTGATAGGTGATTATAACAAAATGGGAAATGGATATAAGAAAAAAATAAAAACTGTTACTATGAAGAAGATATCTTGATTGGAGTTCACTCCCCAGCATGTATTGGGGCCACAACTGAAATGCATCAGCAACCCAGGCACTGTAATCCAGTTTAAACTGCCCTGCTGCTGAGTGGGTGAGACATTAGTGGCATCCAGACAGTGGATGCTGTTGCTGTCAGTAACCCCAACTACATGCCCTTCTCCACCAGCATCCAACTGCTTCAACTTCTGACCTTAACACATAAAGATTTGCATTATTAAACGACGGAAATTGAAACAGTTATAAACCTGGAAACTATTGTTCGGAAATATACTCACCTGAAACAGGAAAGAAATCGCCACCAGAAAATTTATAGACTTGGTCATCATTGCTGACTCCCCAGATTCCTGCAGGTCCCACTGAGACATGCTTGAGGGGAACAGAGCCCAGTTTGGTCCAACTTGATCCACTCAGGAAGAAGACATTGGAGGATGTGTCTGTCATAACAACCATCCCTTGACCAGCATCAATCTGGTTTGCAAATAACGGAACAGGAGCAGCTTTGCAGGTCAAACCTGTGGAAAAAGAACCCCAAAAATATTTAAATGATTAAACTTGGGGGGGGAACTATTCATACAAAAATATACTAACCTTCACAGCTGGTAAAATAATGAACCAAAACCAATAAGGTGGCAAAAACTTTCATGTTTCTGTATGTTGCTTTGTTGCTCCAGATCAAACTCTGCTTCTTCTTCATGGAAGCCTGTGCTGATGGGTGTCAACAAGGGGATGAGGTTGCTTAAGGACCTAAAAGTTGAGATGAGTGAGGCAGAGGGGAGTTCTTGTGGATCTTATGAAGAAACTGCAGCAAACATCCAAAACACAAAAATACTCAGAACCAAAAAAAACAGCAAACATCAGGGGAAACTCACGTGAAGAGCCAGAGACAAGGAAGCAACCAACCATCGACAAGGAACCAGCAAACAGTGACTGAACATGAGGTGTATAAATGGAGCCTGAACAAAGACCAGGCTAATCAGCAGATATGGAGCAGGTGTGGATGGAAGAGACCAGAAGGGGGGAAAGGGGAAAGGAGACAGGCACAAGGGGGCGACAAAGAGCAGCCAAAGACTGCTTAAACATATATAAAATAGAAAATAAACCAAAGATCAACAAAATAGAATAACTGATAACTGAAAAGCAAAAACTCAAAGTCCCAAAAGGGGACTAATGTCTTCTGAAATGGTTTCCCCCCTCTAAGATTCTTATTCATTTTCATTAAAGTCTTTGTTAGATAAAATTTTAGATCTGCTAACAAGTTCTGTAAGTATTCAGATAAGCTGACCAGTTTTAATATCTTTATTTAGCTCAGCAGCATCATAATAGAAACTCAGACATCTGGCTATCTTGAGTTATTTTGTGTGTTAGTGTTTTTTCACATTATTGTTGTAAACAAAGAACACACTTTGTAAACGGAAATTTTATTATGAAAAAAAAAATGCAACGCAGAAATGAAACCTAGCATTCATCTCAAATTTTTATTAATTTTTTAATTTTATTTTTATAATTTAATTTTTCATGTTTCTTTGTTTTTATAGCTTTTATAGCTTTGTATTTTATTTTTTACATTTCAGTTTTTCGTATTGAGTTTCATGATTTCCATTCTTTTGAAATTGCATTCTAAGGATCACATTCTCTTCACTTCTGAGGAGCTAAGACAATTGGACAATTGTCAAAATTTGGACAATCATCACCAATATCTAGTTTTTTTTTGTGTGTGTGTGTTTTTTTTTTGTACAACATCCAAAATATTTAAGGACATTAATCAGTGTATTTTCAAAAATATTTGTTTTAGAAAAGTAACTTAAAATTTACTTTTAGTAGAAACTCATTACTTTTTGGAGAGCAGGTAGTCAACTAATTAAAACTCACTTTTTGAATAAAGTATTTAGTAAATGTAAGTAGTTTCAACTTAACAGGACCGAGTTTAAATCCCTGTGCCTCATATTCTTCTCCTATGACTGTATGATATTTCAAAAACTGTGCTCATCATATCAGGGAGAACTGATTAGCAGGGCAAGTAATGCATTTTATGCTCTGACTTTGTTTTTCCCCTGGTAAAATTGAAAAAATATTCTTCAGTAAAAAAACAAACATAAATTGAGAGAAAAATTGTAACATAAGCAATCTTTCTATCCTTGATGTTTTCAAATACAAGTCAGATGGACCACAATATTCATACTGTATATACCATGTGTAAGTATACACTCTCCATTAACCTGATCAGTCCAGTTGAGGGTGTCTGTGATTCCCCCCCCCACCCCCCTAGGAATTTGGTGCTGCCTTTACAGCTGAGCTGTTGATGTGCAGTGGAGCATGGTTAGGCCGGTTCTTTTTGAAGTTGACAATGATCCCCTGCGCCTTCTCCACGTTCAGAATCAAGCTGTTGTCTCTGCACCAGTCCACCAGCTGCTCCCCCTCCTCTCTGTGGTACTGGTCGTTGTCTCTGATGAGGCCCACCGCCGTAATGTCGTCTGCAAACTTCACAATGCAGCTGGAGGTGAACCTGGGGATGCAGTCTTGTGTCAGAGAGAAGGGGGCTTCAATTAGCTACAGGTAAGGAGAACACACAGGGTTGATGTATGAAAGAGTTTATTGTTTCCTTAAAACAAGGTTTTGATATTTTGTATGTCAAAGTGTGAACCCAAGTGTAAAGAGTTATCAATCCCAAACCAATCTGTCTAATGTCATTTGACAAATTATTCTTCTAAAGGTTTAATTTTGTTCCTTGTCATGGAGTCATTTAAACAGAATAATCACAGTGATTTACATCCACGTAGTTAAAAGGGGAACCAGGCTTTAAAATGTCCTATTCATAAAGCACAAACAGCCATATCCCCCATAAATAATGAGGGAGAAAAGAATGAAGTGAAGTCTTCCAGCTGGTGACTGAGTGCACCGTAGGATAAGGTAACGCTCGGTCACAATCCACAGACGTCCCAGGTCATAGCTCACACACAGTTCAGCATGCATCTGGACCCTAACTGAATTAATCAGCTACCCTGGCAGGGTTATCCAGTTCAAACTGGATTTTACTCTGCAGTTTTAAGTATTTGACCCTCGATTTGCACTGTTCCAACCCATTCAGGTTTGGTTCTGATGCAGTTATTTTGTGCTGCCATTTCTCTAACAAATTTTTGCCCTCTAAGGCTAAAAGCAGTGGCAGCTGGTCAATAGAGGACACTAGGGCGCTGTCCCACCAGCCCAATGACCTTAATTAAGACATAGAAAAAAACAAATAAAATCAATTAAACAAATAAATGTTTAATCTTTAATGACTTTTAAAGCGTCATTTCATTTTTCTTTGGATCGGTGACGTATTCCTGCCCTAGTGTGCAAAAATGTTTGCCCACTGACTCCCATTAAAAGTTGTACATGTGCAGTAGCTCCTCTGCAATACAGAAGTATAGGATAGGCTATACCAAGGCTACACCCTGAGGAGACAGGAACTGTTGTCACATTTGTAGTGCGGGTGATTGACGGGCCGAGTCGCGGGAGGGAAGCAAGCTTATCAAGAGAAGCTGGAGGTGAAATTCTTTGGACCTAATCAGCCAAAAAACTAAATTAATCAGCAGTCCAAAAGACAGATGAAGAAGGTACACTCAGTTTTTTCCCAGGACCTGGTTGAGCTACAAGGCTTGGCTAACTGCATGCAGCAAGGCTAAAGCTCTATTCTGCAGCCTTGGCTGCCTGACTCCTTTTTCAAATGTCAGGATCTGACCCAGCATGGATAAAGGCAGGTAGAACTGATTTAAAGCACTTTTTTAGAAAAAGGCAAAGACAAATGAACAATCTGGGGTTCACATGGAAAATAATATAATATAGTTTACTTTTTATTGATATTTGTTAATTTGCATAGTTGCTCTTAAATAAACGCATTCTCAGAAAATAGTTTTTATATATTAAAACATTATAAATCTGAATAATAGCTTCTCCATTATTAAACTGGTGCATTATTCTTTTAGGTATGTGACACAATATTGGACCATGCAAAACACAGATTAGCCTTCACAAAGCCTCAGAAGGGTGAGATTTATGTAAAAAAAAATAAAGCTGTACATTAAATTATGTTTTGTTTTTTATTAAGTGTTTTTATAATGTTTTTTGCTGTTGGCATTCATATAAATATACTGATGTGGCAATGTAGTAGGGAGTGGTGGCCTAGTGGTTAGGGCATAGAGCTTGAAATCCTGAGGTTCTGAGAAGCTTCACCCCTGATTGCTCCTTGGGTGCCCAACGATGGCAGCCCACTGCTAGCCTCGTAAGGCCATCCTGATCTCGCGACCTTTGAAGGTTTCACTCGCAGATCAGTCTGGCTACTTTCCGTTAAAGAAAATTTGGAGCAGTTCACCAAACGAACGTCCAATCAGTGTTGGCTTTGAGGCGGGTTGGTGTGGGACGCAACGAGAAGCGTGACAGTTCAGTTGCGTGGCTATCGAGCAAGTTTTATCGGAATTACAGAGTATTTCTTCACTGAAAGAAGAGCAAAACACTGCTCTGGAGGCTTTTCTCAAAGAAAAATATGTTTTTACTCTTCTCCCGACTGGTTTCGGCTTGTGGTTGTGTTTTCGTCGTCGCTCTGTTAGTACGTCATATGCTTCATTGATCTGATTGGTTTATTTGGCCCGTCTATCACCAACATAGGCCAATCAGCTAAGTATTTTCGCCCCTTCCCAAAATTACTTCAACGGAAGGTTTCCAGATGGATATGCGGAGTCAGGTTAGCCAACTGCTCCCCAAAGGGCTGGGTTAAATGCAGCAGTAAATTTCTCTAATGTGAGATCAATAAAAAAAATTTTATGTATTATATATTTTATTGGTTTTTAGTATACGTACATCTATTTTGATGTTGAGAAAACTCCACCAGTCGCCACTGGCTAAAGGAAGTATTCTGAAGAATTCCCTACCCAGTTTTAGCTGCATGTGCTTGAAATTATCTTGTTACCTACAAGGACAGCGCAGACTGTTCTTCAAAAGGAAGCTTAAGCCATTCAGAGTTTGCAGCAAGACTGCATGTCTTCTACAAGTTTGTTGTGATACTGATGTCATTTCAGTCATCTCCCATTGAAAAAATGTGCATAAAAAAAGTTCACATATCATCATTACCATTTGTATGAGTATTTATTTCTCCATTTAAGCTTAGGTAGCGTCCATCAATCAGGTAATGGAGAGGGTACATACTTACACATGGTATATATGAATATACTGGTTCATCTGACTTGTGTCTGAAAACATCAAGGGTAAATAGATTGCTTATGTTACAATTTTTCTCTCACCCAGTTTTTTTTTTTTTTTTTTTTACTGAAGAATATTTTTTCAATTTTAGTACTGATTATTGTAATGTATCTTTTTGTCATTGTGTACCTGGGAACTGTTTAAAATATAAAAATAAAAAAGTGGAGAAAAGCAAGTGCAGGGAAAACATAGTCAAAGCATAAACCACGTTTCTTGCCCTGTTCATCAGTTTTCCCTGATATGATGAGCACAGTTTTTGAAATATCATACAGTCACAAACTATCAGTCATAAATTGCATTACTCATCAATTATCATTTCTTCCTTCTTTTCCTCTCTGTCCAAACATCAGGACCTTATTACAGATTGTACATTGCTCAGGAGATTAAATATAACAATTAGATGACTTGGAGGATACTGTGGGTTTAGTTTATTAGACATATACATATACACCAAAAAGACAGCTTCCAAGCTCTGTCTCTAGAAAGTGTGTTTCCACTCACAGGCTTTATTTTTCCCATTAATACCAGGTGTGCTTGTCCAAGACCAAAATCCCTGGACCTTTTTTATATCATTCCTGCAACTGTACCAGATTTTTCCAGCCTAATTACAGTACAAGAACAAATAGGCCTCCTGACATATTAGTAGTTGCCAGTACTGAGTACCATTCCAAATTCTAAATCCAAACATAATCATACAGAGTTCTGATCTTATTCTTAGATTTGCTAAGATGAGAAAATACCTTAAATCTGGCAGAGATGGGATGGTTATTTTTCGTCTTTATTTTTTTTTCCCATCTTGAAAAGTTTCCTTTATATATTTTGCAGATAATTACTTTTGACAGCCAGCCCTAGGGAGAGTCCCTGTGGTTCTAAACTTCTTCTATTTGTCCTCAGAGCTCATCTGGACTTTCAAAGAAGTAACATTTGTTCTGTATGCTAGCCTGTTGCACCTCAAGACAATGGCCGTTTCTCAATAGGTGCACTTGCGCCTTCTCATGTGCTCGTGAAACGTCATCAGCCTCAGCCCTAGTATTGTTCCAATTCACAAGAACAGCAGACTGAGAAGGGATGTTGTTCTTGCCCCTCCCTCTTTACCGAGTATGCATTGTCACGACTACTAAACTTACTTATATCTATCCTTAACTCACTAAAGAATAGTAATACACACCTTTAAAAAAAAAATTTTCTGAGAAAATTATGATGCTTTATACATTTTCTCTGTTAAACTGCTTGTGTGACATAATTGGACATACTCTAAGTAGTCTGGCAACATATGATTAAACCATGTTTATCTGCATTTTAGTTTTTTTTCTTCTTTAGATGACCTACTACTGTATATATTATGCGGTTAACATGAAAGGGAAATATAAAGCCGAAAAAAGTTAGCTCCTGGAAATAGCATAGGATTCTATTTCCTGTACAGATCAGGCACAGATGAGTGATAAAACAGAATTTATTTTAAGGCATTTATTTTCTTAGGAAATTCATTATTAACCTTTAACACATTAGTTTATTACTCTTATTATTTTCAGGGAGGGAAAAACATAATTTAGGTGTTTTTTTACTAAATAAAATCAAGGGCGATCCGGATGTATATTTGCAAATGAGCTGATGATACGGATCAGGCTCCCAGGACGGCTCTCCCAGCATGCACTGTGGCATCTGCAGCTTCCAGTGGAGTGCTCGCAGAACTCAGAGTAGTTCAAAGTTCTCTTTTCTGTTGACATTCTTCTATAATAGTACGTTTTTAGATAATTTGAGGTGAGAACATTAGACTTTTAAGCGTCACTATATGGCCCATTCACTGATTTAGTACGTAATTTAAAAAAAAATTGGATGTTGAGGGGACCGTGGCAACCAGCGGTGCTATGAGGCTAAATGCAGCCAGAGCTCTCATTAGACCATCTGCAGCAGCGCTCTCTTGGCATAGCCGTGTGTGAAGTGGTCTGGGTCTGATGTTGATTTTTTTGTTTTTATTTAGTGTTACCGGTACTTATTATTCCCTCACCAAATGGAAAAAGTAAAAATATATTATTATCTAGAGACTGTTAATAACAGAAGGAGAAATGCAGCTCCAGATGAGTCGAGCGTATGGTGACATCACAAGTACGCTTCTGTTCCAAATGACCCATATTTATGCTGCGTGCTCGTGCTTGGTGTTTGAGCTCTGCATTTTTTAACTGTGGCACTTTATGAAGACCAGTGTCTGCTTTTCTTATTAGGTCTCATTAACTGAATCTACTACAGGTGGACCCCATTTATGAAACATCTCAAGCACAATAGTGGAAACAACAGTTTTGTAGATATTTTTTAGTGTAGAAGAATAGTGGAGGATGTTCCTTTTCCGGGTGGATTATCTAACTAAGTGTTCCTCCTAAGTGTCAATCATTATGGTGATATGTTTACGTAAGGCCTTAGTATGATTAAAAATCTTCTTTTAGAAACTAAGCTTCTATAAGTGATGCAAACAGCAACTTTTAAACAGAGCATGCAGGAGGAGAAATGGGCTTGTGCATGTTCTCGCATGCATTTATCAGGTGTTCCTTCTCAGGAGGGGGTACAGGGTTGTGCATGTGCATATTTTTTCTTAAGCTGAGAGAGCGGTTATTTTCAAAGATTTGCAAAAATCCTCTACTGTACCTTTATGTTCAGGTGTTCAGCAATCTCAGCATTTTTATTTTTCACCATTGTAGGTGTCAAACATTCTAAATAGGCCGATCAATTTTATTTTACTCATTTATTTTTAATTATCTGAATAACTCATAGTTTTGTTGTTTTTTTTTTTTGCCACTGCAGTTCCCGTTTATCTTTTTTTATGAGCAGCACTTTGAATTACATTTTTATTTAAATGAACCATACCAATAAACTTGCCTTGCCTTTAATGTTGTTTTTTTGTTTTGCTTCTGGGTTTCTAACAAATAAAGACCACTTTTTTGGCTATATCGCATATTGAATTGTTTCTCTTAGTATTGGAAGAATTAAAATAAATGTTGCTTCAGGAATAATAAGTCTCCCAGTTAGTTAAAGAGAGTAATATATATTTTTCCTCCATTACATCATTCACCTTGGTCTGACAGAGCGACTTCAACCTCAGATTAGAGGGTGCTACTGCTGCTGTTGGTGAGATGTACCGTTTTTACTTCATGTTTTAACTGCTGAGCTGTGTTGTTGTACAGAATATCTCCGTCTGAATGTATTTCTTTTTTTGTGATATCTGTATCTAAGTAACTCTAACTGTCCAGAAGCACTTTAAAACATAACGTCTTCTGCTGCCTTTTCTACTGCATGCTTAGTGTAAGGCATTGCCTTCAAGTCAATTCATTGATGCAATCAGCTGGTTTTCCTTATATAGAAAACTTTGACTGTATAATCTGGTTGAATGGTCTCTGTAAAGTGCCTTGTAATGACGTGTGTTGTGAACTGGTGCTATATAAATAAACTGAATTGAATTGAAATTAGAAGGAGAACTCACAGGGTTGATGAATGATTTATTGTTTACTTAAAACAAGGTTTTGATATTTTACATTTAAAGGCTTAAAGCGTAAACCCCAAGTGTAAAGAGTTATCAATCCCAATCCCATCTGCCTAAAGTCATCGGACAAATTATTCCTTCTAAAGGTTTCGTTTTGTTCCTTTTCATAGAGTCATTTAAGCAGAATCATTACAGTCATTTATATCCTCATAGTTAAATTGATGAACCAGCTAAAATTCTCTTCTCATGAAGCACAAACAGGGATACCCCCTTCCAGCTTGTTACTCAGTGCATTCTAGGATGAGGTTGCACTCGGTCACAATCCACAGACGTCCCAGGTCATAGCTAACATACTTGATGGGCTTCTCAAATTCAATATGTTTCCAATTTACACCTCCTGGAGTTTTGTTAGAGATTCCAATTCTGTAAAGAGAAAAGTGATTGCTTATAACCATTGTATAATATCTGTGCAGATCTGCAGCAGAACTTCGTGAAAATCTTACCTTTCATAAAGGTTTCCACCTTTATTCACAACAAAGACCCGTCCATTACTCCCAACTTCTGCCTTTACTGCTTTTCCTTCTATATGTGTCCATTCATTTCTAAAACAGCTGTTTGGTAAGATTTTCTAAAAAATAAAAAATAAAAAAAAACAGAGGATGAAAATATGATAGGATAAAATCATAGGATAAGAAAGAGTAAAAAATATCTTTATTACAATGAAGTAGATATCTTGATTGGAGTTCACTCCCCAGCATGTATTGGGACCACAGCTGAAATGCATCAGCGCTCCTGGCAGTGTAATCCAGTTCAAACTGCCCTCCTGCTCAGTGGGTGAGACATTACTGGCATTGACACAGTGGATGCTGTCGCTGTCGGTAACCCCAACTACATGCCCCTCTCCACCAGCATCCAGCTGGTTCAACTTCAGACCTTAAATCATAAATATGTGCATTATTAAACCACTAAAAACCATTCTAAACCTGGAAAACATCGGTCTGAAAATAATACTGACCTGAAAGAGGAAAGAAATCACCACCAGCAAATTTATAGACTTGGTCATCATTGTTGACTCCCCAGATTCCTGCAGGTCCCACTGAGACATGCTTGAGGGGAACAGAGCCCAGTTTGGTCCAACTTGATCCACTCAGGAAGAAGACGTTGGAGGATGTGTCAGTCATCACCACCATGCCTTGACCAGCATCAAGCTGGACTGCAGAAAAGTGCAGCGGAGAAACCTCACAGGTCAAACCTTTAGAGGAGAACCAAAAAAGTTGTAACAATTAAATCAACTAAAACAAAAACGAAGCTTTATTTGAAAATATAATGAACTGACCATGGCAGCCGGTGAAATAATTCACCAAAACCAAGAAGATTGCAACAGCTCTCATATTATCTTCTTGTTTGTAGATGCGCTGCCTCTGATGATACTGCTTCCTTAGTGGGTGTTTTCAAAATAATACAAAAAGAGAAATAACATATTTAAGGATTTACAGAATGTGTTCCAATTAAGTATAAACATTTAAATAATCAAAATGCCTCTCAAAAGTGTTTTCACACCATTCATAAATCCACTCCATCATCCGTCTCAGGATCTACACATCTCCATTAAGGATAGATTTCCATCCGCATCAATTACGTCAATCTGAGTCTTTGCATAGAGTCACCAGTCTGATCGTCACATTTTCACTGATCAGTCTAACAATACTTGCTGTTTAATCATTTCTAATATCTTAAACGACTCCTTTCACCCTGGAGGATGACAAATGTCTTACTTGTTTTCTTATGTCATGAAATAAAATGCTGCTAGCTGCTATAAAAGATCTGGTTTTATAGCTGTTATGTATTTATTGAATTACCTTAAGTAATGCCCTGTCAGTTTTAAGTATTTGACCTTCAATTTGCACTGTTTCAGCACATTCAGGTTTGGTTCTTATCATGTTTTTTTTTTTGTGTGTGCTGCCATTTTAAAATAAAATGACACCTTCTGAGGCTAAAAGGAAATCTTCTGAAGAATTATGTTCACTACCTACTTTTTAGCGGCATGTGGCTGACATAGCAGTTTAACTACTTCTATTTTTGGTTCAACTGGGGGCCCAAGTAGCTGTTTCCTCTTACGATGATGGAACTTGGATTTCAATCAGTCAGGAAATGAATCCTTTAGTTCTTTCTTTGCATGAAACTGCTCATTTACCCCTTTGGCTATCATTAATCTCTGTCCGAATGTGTTTTGATAGATCCTTCTCTGACCCAGCCCAGTAACCAGCATTGAGAACACTGAGGTCATGTCCTCTGTATTTTTCCGTTTTTTGGGGTTTATTTTTAATTCAGAGAAATGTGAAACTATATGATAAAAATTGTTCTGACTTTGATTTGTGTTAAGATCAGCATGCATTCTCATTTGTTTAAAAAAAAAAGTCCACAATCACCTTATGAAATGACGTTATTTTAAAACTGAGTGGAAATTCCATCCGACATTGCATTCTATTACCCAGGTCCTTCGTGAAAGACAGCCGCCCACGCTCTGAACACCACAAGATAAAATAGGCTACTAGGTTTTAGAGGTGGAATCTGGAAATGGAGGCAAGATGAAGAAATCTGCGCTGAAACAAACTAAACTCAGCTTTGGAAAGTCAACAGGTCAGGGGAAAATAAAGAGAGGGAGGCGAATTCATTTCGCCAGTAATTATATCATTCAAAGCATGGCTAGGAATAGAAATGCTCATCGCCCTACGCAAGCATTTCAAGAAACTGTCACTAGGATTTTGCTTCACAGTTGGAGCCTACTTAAAACTATTGATCCACATGGGCCAAAAAAATAGAATGAAATAGTTCTACATTTTTCTTGAGGTAGTGTTGCTCATGTTGCATTGTGAAGAATACATTTTTTTGCTTCAGCTATTTCAAAACTATTGATGCACACAGGGAAAAGGCCTAGGCCTCACATTCATACTCACTCACTCAAATACTCTAATTTTGTGAGTTTTGGAATTGTTATCATAAACATGTTCATATTCACCTCCTTGATGGGCTTGTGATTTAACTCTCTTTTTTCACGTTTTAAAAATATATTTTTAAAAGTCACTTTATTAGGATGTTTTTTTGTCAAGTAAGATTTATCGCAAAATTTGACCTCGGTATTTCAAATATCCTAGTTACGGCCCTGCTCTGACCCATTGTTGGAGGGAACCCCACTTTAAGCCTCTCATCTAACCTGTTATTTCTTTTTCATTTATTCCTTAGAAAACTTTTTCTCTGTGTTCTCAGTTTTAAATAAATTGACAAATCACAGACCACACCATAAGAATCAGACTTGACAGAAATTGACATCTGAACTATTATCAAATATCTGAACAAGTTTAAGGAAAAGATCTCTGCTTACCTTTCAGGAAGTGCAGTTGATTGAGAGGGAGTTTTCTCCAAATAATTTGAAAGTAGAAAAATCCTCTGTAAGTATCAACAGAATTTGTTCCAACTAAATACAAGAAAATGACTTATGATGATCACACATTACATTGAATGAATTTACCTCCGGACTATTACAAGATCAAATGAAGAAGTAGTAGAGAATAAGGTCTGTCCTTCTCTAATTATACTCACCCTATCAGGCTGTTTACTCTATTTATCAGCCTTATCTATGTGAAACAGAAAACTGAACCTCAGAATGTTGCTCCAACTGTTTTAATCCCAAAAGTGTAAAACTGCTGCTGTCAGCACACACCAAGCACAAAATTTCCAAATTAGGCAATAACAGCAGTTCAGCCTGTCATCATCATACAATCATGTGTTCCCACACTTACGGGTGGATATTGCAAATATTAATCTCTAACAGCTCTACTGGCTGTTTGATGATGTTGGCGGGATTCATTTTTTTATAATTTAGCGTGATGTTGTTGTTTTACTGATTGCTCTTAATCATACCTATACAATAAGGTAGTTTGACAACAAAAGAAAACCAGAAATCTAGGCTGATTGTTGCAATTGGCACAGTGTTACTGATCTTTCATATGCCCTCTTATGAGGAGGATGAAAAACCTGCAAAGGTGAGGGGGGTATTATTTTGTTGACATTTAAGAATGATGACATTTAAAGTTAGAATATTACACCAGACTAATTATGATAAAATATGTTCCCACCTTTCCTCTAAAGGCATCTCAAAGCAAACTAATTTGGCTCTATAAAAATGATGGTATACTAATGGTGTACCTTTTCTAGGATTGATACCGTATCAAACTAGGCAGCCAACATTGATATACTACTAACCTCTATTTGTATGACCTCCAACCCCTTGGATGATCTGTGTGGATGTGTATGTGTTTGTCTGAATTGATGGGAATATTTCTTGAAATTAGTATAATTGTGTTGAGAGGGTGTATTTTAGAGAGTTTGCCACATAAAGATGCACATTTTGATCACCTAACAGCAGCCAACGACAAATGGGCTCAGCTATGAAGGTAGCCATCACCCATGGCCAGCCATACTTACGATACAGAGGTAGACCATAAGGGAACGATTCCTTGAGACTCAACTTTGCATTCAGGACAGTACCTGGGTATGCAAGAAATACTGTTCTCTTCAACGCTTTATTCCTGGTACTGATGGCACCATTCGTCTAAACCATCATCTGGCTCCACCGACTCCCATTTGTCTGTAGGTTTCAGGCCACCCGGAGATAAGGTCATAGTTAATTAGATAAATGTGTTATTAGTAACTTTTGTAAAATATGTAACTTTGTTAGAGTTGGAAAGAAGCAGTTGAGTACCCCAAGATCCTCTGCTGATGGCCAAATATCCTTGGTTGAAATGTGACTAACTTTTTACTCCCTGAGCTCATAATCATGTTTTTATAAAGACAAAGGCTTGTATTTATCGGTAGCATTCAGTATGTTTAAACTGAACAATATTTAGAATGAATGAAAAAAACAAAACCCTACAGATTGAATAATGTTTTAAGTTAGAAGGGATTTGCTTTATTCGGTGTTTGGGACTGAACCAAAGTCTGTCCAAGTGGGACATCTGTTGGCTTTTGTAAAGCATTACATCTCTTAAACCAAGGATGTTAAACTCTAGTAATTTAGGTGTGATGGACACCGACCTGTTTTGAGTTATACAAAAACAAAAGAACCTTAATTTAGAACTCTAAAATAATTGTAATTGTAATTCATCTTATTTCATTTTAAATTTATCTTATTTTTCTGCTTAGTATGATTGAAAATAGATTTATTACAAGAAAAGCATACTTACTTGAATTTCATTTTGTGCTGTGCTTAGTTATATATGAATTTGGATTACTTTCATTAATTTTCCTCTAGTATTGAATCGGCTAAAGGACATTTCATGCGTTTCAAGCACCAGCTCTTTTAAGCCAAATTCCTCCATGATGTAAATTTGTAAAATCTAGTTTCTTCCACTGGAGGCAGCTAGCAAAGGTAAACCTATTCTTTCACATCCGCATTTTCAAACATATTCAATGCCTTTGTAACCACTCAGATGGATCACTGCAGAGATGGGAAGTAACGAAGTACAAATACTTCGTTACTGTACTCAAGTAGATTTTTCTGATATTTTTACTTTACTTTACTACTTATTTTTATGGCGACTTTTTACTTCTACTCCTTACATTTTTACACAAATATCTGTACTTTCTACTCCTTACATTTTAAAAAATTGGCTCGTTACTTTAGTTTTGAATCATTTCAATGGAGTTACCGTTATTATTTTTCACGTCATCAATACCAAATTCAATCTAATTGGATGGGAATCTACGTTGCATTTGACGCACCACTACAAGATGAATCGACAGATTCAGCGGTATTTATTGGCGGCAAATCATTGCAGCTTGGTGGCGGTGGCGTTAGCATAGTAGCATGGACGACGAGATGATTGAAAATGAACACAACGGAGATCTAGTCCTATTGGCAGACATCCATTTAAAATGTAGGCAACGGCATGTAAAAAGTGGTTTCTACTTTTACTTTTATACTTTAAGTAAATTTACAAGCCTGTACTTTGTTACTTTTACTTGAGTAAAGAAGTTTAATCAGTACTTCCACTTTTACCAGAGTATTTTTTAACACAAGTATCTGTACTTTTACTCAAGTACGGAAGGTGAGTACTTTTGCCATCTCTGGATCACTGTAAGGCAATTTAAAACAGTATCAGTAATTCATGCAGCTTTAGAGGGTACAGAATGATCTCTTAATGTTCTTATCCCGCCCTACCTGTCTGAGCTGCTTCACATTTTCACCCCTTAGATCTGTTGACCTGTGGTTACTGAGGGTGCCAAAGGCAAAACACCAGCTCAAAGGAGACCATTTTTTTTCAGTTGCAGTCCCTAAGCTGTTGAATGATCTACCATTGGCCATTAGAACAGCCTCTTTACTTTCTGATTTTAAAACTCTTCTTAAGACCCATTTATGCTTTTAACACAATCTGAGATGTTAACGTTG